ATGCTTGTGACTGGGCTTAACAGGGAAAAAAACATTTGAAAACATAAAGTCATAAATTTCACTTTTCACCAAAAGAAAACGACAACTTCAAAGAAATACAGGAATTTAGCTCCATATCTTAGTCATAATAAGTGTGGTCTTTTGGAGATTAACGCTAGTTCCAGGTCGTGGCAGCTGTAAACAGACTCTTTGTCGCTCAGCAGCTCAGTAGATCTAACAGGTGGATGTGTGACGCATACTAACCCAAACGGCTACACGACCGTCTCCCCTCCTCAGTCTAAGTGGCGAGCACAGAAACAATGTCATCTCTGTCAGCGGCGCACAAGGCCGCAGTTTTGATCTAACTAAACACGAGGAGAGGAAATGGAAAGAACCGTTAACCTTTTCAGCTGTTTAATGACGAAAAGGCAAATAACGTTAGTCTCTTTTCTGTGTGGCTGTGTTCCGAGTCATTTTTAAATAACTTTGTTTGCTCTTGTTTGCAGAAAGAACTATTTCACAAAGCTCCTTTCCACAAACATTGGACTATTCCTAGAGCTTTAGCTTTGCAGCATAAAGAGGCATTTCCTGTTCTCTTTGAAACTATATGACAAAACAGAAAACTGCTAGCTTTTGTCAGCAGCATCCAACAAAAAGTGCCCGCCAGAGTCAGTCCGTTGTCTTTGTACTGTGTTTGCAGTGCGTACCAGGTGGTGGTGGAGGAGGAACGTCCACGCAGAGCGAGGGGCACGGCGGAGATCTTGCGCTGCTACCCGGTTCCCATTCACTTCCAGAACGCCACGCTGTTGAACTCTCAGTACTACTTCACGGCTCAGTTCCCCGCCGGCGGCATCCACTCGCCCCAGCCCTTCACTGTGGGTGACAACAAGACCTACAACGGTTTCTGGAATGCCCCTCTGCTGCCACAGAAGAGCTACAGCATCTATTACCAGGCTGTCAGCACAGCCAATGGGGTGGGTGTCCTCCACTTATTTATTTATTTCTTCGCGGTCACAAGTAAAAGTGCAATGATGTGTCTGTAATGTTAGCAAAATATCTCATCTCATAAAAAATCTTCGGAACATAATCATTGGGTGTGCATCCACAACTGATTTTGGTGTTGGCCTGGTTCAAGTTGGTCACCCCAGCCAAACTGACCTGAACAAACAAAAATGGCCGCAGCTCAGGTAATTTTAAAGATATGAAGTAAGAATTGGCAGTAGCTAGGCCTGTCGCGATAAACGATACATCAGTTAATCGCATGATAAATGGAAATTATCAACCTCATTTTCATGTATCGGCTTTACCGTTTCTTCATCTCTCTCTTTCTACTGAAGACACTGGATGACAAAAGCCTCAACTCCGGTGCTCTTCACTGACCCCGCCCTTTCTCTTTTCTCTTTAAAATCCATTTTTACCGTCCAAAATTGTGTTTTTGGATCGTTAAAAGCAGCTAAGCTGAGAAGCTATGCTATGAGCTAAGCTAACAGGCCGACCTTGGGGAAAAAAAACCTCCGTCTTGTCAAAGCTCCAAAATTCACGGTCGAAACCCGTGCCTTTGGGTAAAAAGTTGTTTTTCTCTGCAAAAAGAAGCCGAGAACTTGTTTACTGATTTTTTTATTAAAAACTTTGTGTGAAAAATGCTATGCTGAAGAGCTGAAACCACACCGAGCGTCCGCCATTTTGAGAACCAAACAAAAAGGAAAGAGAGGCAGCCCATGTCACATCAAGGGGCATCCCTCCCATTTTTCTTAAAGAGACATGCTGCTCGCTTCCTCACTATCCATCCTTCGGTTCAAACCATCTTATACTGCCATCCGGTGGGCAAAAAAGGTACTACACACAAAACAAATTAACCAACATTTCTTCTTAAATTGGACAATAATTACTAATTATTGTCAAATTTCAAACAATATTATCGTTTATCACAATAATTTCTGAGACAATTAATCACCCAGCAAAATTTATCGTGACAGGCCTAGTAGTAGCTGAGACTCATCCTCAACACACTTTCAAGTGTTAACATTTCTTATGAGATCCCATAAATCCAGATGAGGTCGTGCAAAACATTTACAAGGTTTAACCAAAACGGCTAAAACTTTCATTTCTCTTTCCAAGATAATCTGATTTACCATATTTTTCGGACTTTAAGGTGTACTTAAAATCCTTTAATTTTCTCAAAAATCGACAGTGAGCCTTATAATCAGGTGCAGCTTATAGTCCGAAAAATATGGTATTCATTCATTCATACATTTGTTATTTTATACACACTTTCTCTCAGTTCAGTTTGCCCAAAACTGCTTACGGCTAAATCAGAAACTGTTTTTGTTGTTGTTTGTTTTTTTTCTTTATTTTTTAGACAAAGGTTTACAAACAAAATATTGTTTTTATTATATTAGTAATGGTCTTATTTATTTTAATCCACAATGTTTAGAACAGATAATAAAACCTTTCTTTTGTTTCTTAACTGATACTTTGAAATAAATGTACAAAAACATTTTAGTTATTTTAAATAATTCAAGGATGTTACTACTCTTTTGAGACTTTTTGCATCAAACAGTTGAAAAAACTAATAAACAATTGGAAATGAAACAGAAAACGTTTTAAAATTGGGGTGTTGCAGCCATAAATCGTTAGTTGAAGACTAATATTTGTGTAAACGTTTGTAATCAACGTTGCTCGTGCTGGTTTAGGATTAAGCTTTTTATTTTTTCATCTTTTTTTGATGCTTCGTTCTGAAGTGTCAGTCTTAAAAAAATGAGCACTTATCTTTTTGAATGCTGCTGCACTGATCGCCTTGATTATTGATTATCGCATTAGGTGCTTTGGCATCGTGGCTGAGGAACAGGGTGCAAATTGTGGACGTTTGTTAAAAAACATAAAAAATTCTTGCTGTTGGTTGCTTTATAAACAAATCAGCAGAATGGTCGTGCTCTGTCCTGCTTTCTGCCACTGTTAGCAAATATACAAGTTCTCAGTCTCATCTGAGTCATAATCAGATTAGCATAATTGAGAGAACAACTGATTTGTGTTAATTTAATCCACTTCAGTCACTGAGACTGGAACAATTAGACAAACGAAGCACAAGACTATAAAAAACACAATATATGTTTTTATTTTAGCAAAGAATTATCAAAGGCTGCACTTTTTTGCTCTTACATACAGTAGTCCCTCAGTTATTGCGAGCGTTACGTTCCACACACCCCCGCAATAAGTGAAAAACCGCAAAGTAGAAACGCTATATTTATTTTTGTATTTATATATTTTAAGGCTTTAGAAACCCTTCCCGCACATTTGCAATGTTCTAAACTCTTAAATCTACGTAATTTTAACAACAACCATATATGTACTGTACAGTACTGCAAAATGTTACATGAGGAGCTCACCAACCTTGATCCGGTTCTGCTCAGGTTCTGATCGGCTCTCTGCAGCTGTTGAGCACCAGATGCTTTTGGAGAGATCCGAACCTTCAGAGAGCCAGCAAAAAACCAAACAATGGTCCCAGTCGAGTCCAAATAATCCAGAGGGATCTGATGAAAAATGTCCGGGTGCGCTCCGGAGAAGATATCGGACCTCCAAGCAATGCCTCCCCACTCGAGAGGCTTCATGGGCCGACAAACAGCACTCAGATTGACAGATGAGGCTGGAAGTAGTTCTGGTCCGGTTCTGGTCCGGTTCTGGTCCGGTTCTGGTCCGGTT